AGGAGGCTTAGTACCCCGATGGCTAGTCAGCAGTTGAAAGAAGGGGTCTGTGAGAACGCCTGGCTCTGAATCTTTTGGGGGCAACACAGGAAGAGAGGAATCCCTCAGTCTGGAGCCTACACGTATGGGCCTACACATATGGGACCTCTCCCCATTTTTAAGACTGCTTACAAAATAGGTCCAGTTGTAAAATAGTGTTAAATTTAAGGGATCCATTCCGTGGCCACTTCTCCTGGTCACCCAAGGTATACGGGAACCGGGCCGTGTTGCAAAAGAAAATCAGCTTAGTTCTTTACTGTCTCCAATTGTTAAGACTGCAACCCAGAGGAGAATCTCTGGGGATTCCCTGTTTACATATAAATCTGCTTACATATAAATATAAATGCTTACATATAAATGCTTACATATAAATCTGGAAGCTAACAACTAGAGATCCTGGGGGCCGGATGGAGTCGAGGTCTAGTGTAACGACAAAGGGGATCACAGAATTCCCTCCCCAGAGTGAGGGACAGACAAGGGGTCTCCAGGATGAAGGGGATGGGAGTATAGGTAATGAGGACCAAGGGAGAGGACAGGAGAGGAGGGACAGAAAAGACTGAATAAAAAGAGACAGGAAGAGATTGCCTTTTCAGCCTGCCCCCCGAGGGCGTCTATCCAGGCACCAGCCTGTGCACTTCCAGAAAGGGCCAGTGAAGGAGGGAGCACCCTGTCCACTGCCCACCAGGTGATCAAGCCCCGAAACCAGCCAGCTGTACATCGTCTGCGGGTCGCCAGCCCACAGGCGGGACTCTCACCCACACATACACCGGTATATAGAAATCTGCCGCTTCAGCCTGTTCCCAATGAGACTTCTCTTGGCAGAGGAAAAGAAAGGTGAGAATATTGGGAGGATCGGACGTCCAGCCACTACATGATAGGAGGATTGAACCTCTGTCACTCTCATGTATCTCCCATCAGGGAAGGCCCACTGGACCAAGGTCTGCTTGGTGTGAGGCGAGCCTCTCCCACCTCTGCTTGTGACCTTGTCAAGGTGAGCTGTTGCCGGCCAGAGGGAGCAGGTCTCACAGGCTGAGAACAGTGTTGCTGTAGCTGCCCGACGTCCACTGTCTCGGGAGGATGAGACAGAGAAGTAGGAGAGGACAAAGAGAGAAGTAGAGAGATTTCAGGAGAGGGAAGGGGAAAGTGTTGAGGGAAAAAGGGCAAAGGGGAGGGGGAAAGCGTCGCCTGAATGAGGGTACTGAGGCCCTCAGGGGCCAGGAAGGCAGACTTACCAAACGTGGTGACGCTGAAACAAGAGGTTCAGGTGGCCACCTGTCACCCACTGGGAAGCTGCATTCGGTGGTCGGTGGTCCCGGAGGTGCCCAGATCCCCACCCGGGAATGGAAGAATGTCCCGGCAGAGTCACAACAAAGTATGTTACTGACCAGCATTCTTGGCCTCCTTAATAGAAATTGATACGAGGCCGGATGAGAAATTCAGGCAAGGCTTTACTGGGACTCAGTGCTGCAGCAGGAGGGAGTGAAAACAAGTAACAGTTTCCCTTGCTCGCTCCCTGAGCTGGGGCGAGCTGGTTCCTTGTATGGAGTGAAGGTAGGGGTGGGTCCAGGGGTCGGCTTAGGTGGTCTGCCCACCCCCTTGGTGATGCTGTGTGCAGGGCGCATGTGCAGTACCCTGCTTTTGCTCCGGGCATCTCAGAAGGGACAGTTGGGTTTTTGGTGTTTTGTATCTTGTCGTTCATAATTTGCCCCAACTGAGCATGCACGAGGTTATTGTTAGTCCTGAATAGATTCTTTGTATTCTGTTGCTGGAGGAGGCGTTTGTCCAGGTGCAGGCACCGCAGCAAAGGCTCCCAGGTCCCAGGCTGTCTCAAGGTGATCCTGGCTGATTCTCTGTATTCACTTGTCTTTCCAGGTTTTAGAGGGGTGGTTTGCCCTGCAACCACAATTTGGATGTAAGAATAGCCATTGATTTTGTTTGTTCAGCTTTTCTCTTATTTTAAGGACAGGAATGACGATTTCTAAGCTCTTTGTCAGATCTGAAAACTGGAATCTATGTCTAAATTCATTTGAACCAATATGTATGGGATATTAGTTTGAAGGATTGCCAAATTATTAGGATTTTTTGTGTTCCCACTTGTCTCAACTAACCTTGGATTGGGGTACCAGCAATTTAAACCTGCATCTCAGATTAAATGTAGCCACTGAAATGAAAACGATTCTCAAAAAGGCTATGAGAGAAAAATCCAAAATAATAAATTTTGGAGACAAATTTGTGTTAATGGACCACAATAATAATAATCTAAGCATTTGAAAGAAAAGAGTTAGAACATTATATCTATTACGAATGCCATGAATAAGCAGAACAAGTAAGAGGTTGATTCTATTCAAGACTTTTATCCCAGATTTTGAACAAGGCCCTCTAGCTCTCATGATCAAAAGTCTCATTCAAAGCAGAGGCTCTGAACCAATGGCCCCAAAGTTGAACTAGGCTTTTTTTGGTTTGTTTTGGGTTTTTTGCGGTACGCGGGCCTCTCATTGCTGTGGCCTCTCCCGTTGCGGAGCACAGGCTCCGGACGCGCAGGCTCAGTGGCCATGGCTCACGGGGCCCAGCCGCTCCGCGGCATGTGGGATCCTCCCAGACCTGGGGCATGAATCCACGTCCCCTGCATCGGCAGGCGGACTCTCAACCACTGCACCACCAGGGAAGCCCTGAACTAGGCTTTTTGACATACATTGTTTTTGAAAAAGGAATGGGCTGCTGACTTAATGATTTGGCAATTTCTCTAGAAAATGTGGATGTGCTAGAAACACTGGCCGATGTCACCCACTGATAGCCCTCTGCAGAAGTAGCACAGAAGTTACCCCCTCCAGTTTGCTACAGATGTCTCCAGATAATCTCGCCTGTGTCTATAGCTGAGGCTTCCAACCATCTGAGTTTGTCTTCTCAAGCAATTTACTAAAAGTTGGGAGAAAAAAAAAAATTCTAGTAGATCTTTTATAGAACCTGGAAGTCTAGAAACAGAAATTCAGGATGTTGTTTACATTTCAATAACATGTTGATTCAATTCACTTTTTCCATGGATGATTTATGATAAACAGTCAACAAAGAAGTACGTGTGAAGGTATTGCCATCATTTTTTGGATCTTTGTAACTTGGGGCTGTTGAAAACAACCACCTTTTCCAAATTATCTCCATGTCTTCTTTTTGTTCCATGTCAACTCACTCCATTTTGCAAGAAGCCTAAATAGCTTCTGTTAAGTCCATTTTGTAGAATTCATATTCTGATTCAAGATGTGGTCATTACTAACACTATGTGGCTTGTTTTGGACGTACTTAAAAAGAAAACAATTTAGAGATTTTGAACTTAAAGTTACATAACCTTGACAATTTTCCTAGTCTCCATAGCCCATACCCACCAATATACTTTTTCCCAAGGATAACAACTAGTTAATAGTTTACTTTTGTTTCCCATCTGCATCCCGTGTGGTTGCGTGCACACACACACACACGCACACAAACACATGCACAAACATTTATGTATATGTACATACAAAATCTATACATATATACATACACACACAAAGCTAAATGTTTGTATATACACACATACGTACACTTATATATACATCTGTTTACTGCATTTTCCATCTTTGCACATGTGGATTCATATTATGCATACTTTTCATACTTTGATTTTATTCAGTGGCTGTATAATATTCATTTGTGGCCATTTCTGTTGTTTCCAGTTGCTTCTCTTTTGTGTTTGCTTTCTCTTTTGTTATTAAAAATTGTACCACTGACATACTTTGCTGATTATATCATTTCCAACTTTTACAATTAATGATGGAAATCCCTAGAAGTAGTCGTCTACATCAAAGAGTACCAGTACTCTGCATCAGAGTACCTATATTTAATATTTTGCAACACATTGCCAACGTGTACCCCCAACAAGTTAGCACCAACTCTATTTTCCTTGAATCTTTGCCTTTACTAAGTACTCCTGAAATTTAACGTTCTCTATGCTGATTTTCATCTCTACAATGAGTTCAGGTATATACTTTTTTGTATGTATTCTGCATATCTATCTTTGTTTTTCTGTGAAATTCTTGTTCGTATATTACATGTGAATATCTGGATTTCAAAATCTAATTTGGTTATTAGCCTTCAAAAAATGTCATTTCTCAGCCTAGTTTTCATTGGAGTTTCTAGAAAAGAAACTTGATAATCCTTGTTGCTTGTTCAAGTGCCAAGTGTCCAGGGAGTGTTAAACTTGACAACTGCTGCCTGATTGAGATGCCATGTGATATTTCTCTGGGAGCAAAGTTTTTCTCAATATGCCATAGCTATAGGGTTTTCTTTAGGCCCCTGCCTTGTGATATCTCAGGGTCAAAGGTGAAACCAAGGGTTAATAACTATAAAGAGTAAACTGTTCACACACTTCTTATTAGACATGGCAATTACCTGGTATCAGGCTGAAAGAAACAGTGGAGAGTAGTGGGCAGATAATCTAAATCAAAGCCTTCCATAAATCTGAGACTTGTGAAGTTCAATCAATGAGCATTTTTGAATCCCTATTGTTAGTAGTCCATCTACTAATTTTTTTTGTAAAATGTGCATTGAATTAAAAATTCCTTGAATTAACTTATATAATATTGTATATCAACTATACTCCAATAAAAAAATATGTGTGATTTTGGCTCTCAGGCATAGTGTGCCATGGGTAAAGACTGAAACGAAAAGCTAGACAGGATTCTAACGTGAAGAACCCTGTTGAATGGACCTTATCTAATCACAAAGAGCTCTGGGGGCAAGAGGGGAGAGCATATTCAGTGTGTGAGAAATGGGATGAAAATGGTGTTTTTGTCATTCTCCTGATCAGGGGCCCAGTGGAAAAGTTACTGGTAAGTTCCAGTAACTTTTTGATACCCAGCTGTAGTGTCAGAGGCCCTGCTCTCATAACTTCTCCTCCAGCTCAACTCTGTGCATGTGATTTCCCACAGTATGCAAAGGCGGAAAGGCATCCCGTGACTGCATTGGAGAAAATGATGGAGTCAAGTTTTGCCGGCCCCCAGTCATTCCCAGAGGTCCCTTCTCCCAACAGAGGAAGCCAATCTGTCAAACACCACAGGTACAGGTAGCTAATCATGGTGGGAATGGGTGCGTTGACACAATGTATAACACTGGACAACACATGCCGAGGAATGACAACATTATTCAGGAGAGATGATCGTTCTTGCTTCTCCTGTAGTTCCCCATGCAGTGAATGCTCAAGCAGCTCCTGGCAGGCAAGGCAAAGATACCAGCAGGCAGCAGTGCCCCTAGAGGAAGCCTAAAGGTACTATTAACAGCACCCATCAAGTCTGCAGACCCAGGCCAGTGAATGAAACTATTGCAATCTGAAAAACTATTAAAAACATGATTTTTCCTAGCCTGCCTTATCACTGTCTGCCAATTTAATGACTAATGCTTCCCTAGGCAGCTGACAGGACATGCTCCAGGTCTTCCAACATGGTTCTCACACAAAGAAAACTTTCCAGGGGGAAGAAGCCTGGCAAATCTCCTCCTCTGGTTTATTAGATCTTCCATTATCAATGGAGTGGGACTTTTAGATCTTCCATTATCAATGGAGTGGGACTGTAAAAATTGGCTCTTTGGGGGAGAAAGCCAAAAATAAAGTTATCTTCTAGAAGTTTTACAGCATTCTGAGGCTGAGCAAATTCTTCATCTTCTAGTCACATGCTGTGTTTATACATAAGGAATCTGGAATTCCAAAAATTGAAAGTTTTGTTCTAAAGTGCCAACATTTGATACTTGCTACGACGGACATTATGTTTATGTGCATCCGAAAGCATTGATATGTCGTCAGTCTTTGTGGAAGCCGTCCAAAGATTTAAGCTTCCTTTTCTTAGTGAGAGGTACAGTATTTTAAAAATTCTTAATTATGGAGATTAAACGTTTTTTAAATGGAAAAGGTAAAAAATAACAATTGTTCCCAGCAATGGAAGGTAAATGTTGTTGACCCTTGGTTTTCATAGATGTAGGCAATATTTTGAAAACCACCGTGAGAGAAGTATGCGTTATTCAAGGAAACTAACTTCTCCCTCACCTTTCAGGGAGTCCCTAAAAACGATTTTCTTGATGCTGGCCACATTTACTATGAGGTTCTCATGTCACTCTTGATACTAATCATTAGTACTTGATGGTGATTTTTATTCTTAATCTACATGGGTAGAGACTGAGGTACCAAGGGTTTGCTAAGTTAAAAAAAGGTTTCAGCACAGGATGAAATATGTTTGGCTACTGGATAATTGCTTTAGTTATTAACTACAATTTTTGGTTTCTATCAATTGGGGCATTTACAAATATTTCCCTGCGAAAAGATTACTTCAGTTAACTGGACCTAGTGGACGTTCTTCAATGACGGAATTAAGTACAAAATTATTGGCCTTATAGAAGATGTTTTTTTTTCCAAAAGAGCATTTTCCTCTGCTGATTGTAATACACGTTAAAGTGGTATTCCATTCAGTCAAGTAAAATAATTAAGTATGATATTAAGTACTATATTGTCGTACATGTTTTAAAGTTGATATGATAAGCAATTATAGCTTCTAATGTATTTGACCTGCAAATACCCTACCCTGCTTTTGTCTGATGATATACCTCCTCCTAAACTTGGTTTCTAGGAATCACTCACAGATCAAATAAGGAAGTCTCTAAGAGACCTTCTTTTTTATTTGGTTCAATGACATTGCAGTATTTGTTGGCATACATTGCGTCCTGATAGATAGGCAAGGGTTGATTTATAAAGTGCTTTTAGAACTTTGTAAATTATAGTTCAATATATCATAGCTTTTGTTTTGTAAAACATGCAGTAGACTTAAACGTTTTCGTGATTGATAACCTAGTCACTGATTTATACATCCTGCAAACTGCTGTGTAACTTCCTGAATGCCATTGGGTTAGAAAGCTTGAACAGTTGATTGATCAATAGGTATAGAACTGTTTTTTTAAGATGGGTTACTAGCTCATACTGGTAGACTTTTATGAATAATTCATTTCTTTTGTGCACTGCAAATATGACTCATTTGGATAACTCATTTATGAAACAAAGTTGTTAATTCAAAGCCATTTTTCCTCATGTTTAGTCCCCAAAAAAAACCCTTTCTTTTTAAAGAAGAAATCTATTACATCATGTTATACTTATTACATTATATTTTGGCAATATAACTCATTTATAGACAGTATGTGTAGGTTTTTTAAGGTGAAATAAGTCCAGGGTTTTCAGTGATTAGTATGAGCCTTTGAGTTGTCAGTTTGGGCAGAGGAATCAAGGGAATTTACTTTGTTGAGCAGCTACTAAGTGCCAGACTCCCTGCTAAGCACTTTACATACTTTTTTAATCCCCATAGCAATACTATGAAAATACCTAAACAAGTGCTAATACCTTTATTTGCATCTCTTCCACCCACCTCTAGGCTTTACCTTTTTCTGCCTTGCCTTGTACACTAAGAGGACAGCAGGCTCACTTGCCTTTGGGCTTCTGTTGGTTTCTTGCGATGCACAGGCAAGTTATGGAAGGGCAGAGGCCAGTGAGGTCCTAACACTTCTGCCCCCTCCCTCCCTGCCTGGTTGTCTCAGCTACAGCCCTGTTTCTGGCACTAGCCAAGAGGTCCTCTTCTCACAAACCCTTTCTCTCTTCAGTCAGGTAACTGCTCCTTCCCCCTGTCCTTTCAGTTACAGGGATGGTAACAGCTTCCCACTGTTACCAGCCCTTATGTACAGTAGTATCCTGTATTTTTTTTTTTTCTCAAACAGTGAACACACTTTTGTAAATAGCAAAATCTTCCCAAATGACCCAATATAGAGTGCCATCTATTTCCCCCCAGGACTCTGACTGATACAAGTACTTTCCCCAGTATCATACAGACCTGATGCAGCTAATTCTAGCATCCAAGCCTGAGTACCCTGTGGACTCCACAATTGCCATTGGATGGTATAGGTAGAAGCTGGAAGGGAGGGAAACAAATCAGTTATTATAGAGCTCCTTAAACTCGTTGGCTTAGTGACCTAACTAGAGGTCCCTTGTTGTTAGGCATGTTAGGACTCAATACACTCAACCCAGAAATATGATGATGAAGAATGAAGTTGTAATAACGTTGCCAGGTATGATCTGGTGTTTGCACAAACTCAGGAAGTTAATATTGGGCTTGACGAATATGAAGTTATAAAGTGTGATCATTTCGCCTTGCCCAAACCAGGAAGGTGGCTACTAGCACTCATTTGTCGGGTTCTCAAATGCTGACCTTAAATAACATTTGAGAAGTTTTGTATTTATTAAGTGGAAATAACAGTGATGTTGGTGGGGGGAAAACTTACAGAACTCCAAATAATGTAGTAATATGGGTAAAATTCATTTGGGGGACTGGTTCCTATAGAACTTTATTGAAATTTTGAAAATGTTTTTGCTGTTCCTGTGTGTGGTTTTTTATTGCTATTTTCAGAGCTAAATGAGTAGGAACGCAAAAATTCTAAGTTCCCTTATTGGCATCTCATGGAATGTCTGCACAGGAACAAAGTTCTCTCAGTTCACATGGTAGTAGGGTAAATTCAGTGGGGTGGAGGGAGGAATGGATATGGAATAAGTAATGCGTCAAATTAGTAACTGATTTCTCTAAAGAGTCTAGTTCTTTGTCTGACGTGATCTGTGTAGGGATCTTACCTGAGGTATATCCCGTTTATGCCTTGCCCTTTGATGGCATCTGGCATGGTTATTTGGGTATTTGGATGTATGGGTCAAGAAAATGTACGATCAGATGTTTATTAAAAGCAAACTCAAAGGGTTATTATGGGATTATGTAAAATCATGTGTGTGAAACTTTTGAAAATTGCAAAGCACTGTAGAATTTAAAGGATCTTTCATTCAATAAAAAAAGTTAAAGCAAACTCAAAAGAAAAATAATTTAGGTTCTCAGGATTTATGAAAATTTGAGACAGTGAACTGCAAAAGTAACATATATATTAAGGAGAGAAAGGCAATTAAAATAAGGTTAGTTTATTCTACCACTAACACAAGTGAAATTTTCCCCATAAAGCCCTTAAGGCTTCTTGGGTTTAGTTCTTGGCAGTGTTGAATAACAAGGCCATTTTTATTTCTACTAAAGGCACCTTTGTAGCTTGGATAATGAGGGAGGAGGGGAATCAGGAGCTGGAGAATTCCTCAAGCGCACCTCGTTGGCTGGAAAGCCGGTGTTATTTTAGTCCATTGTGCTCCAGACTGGAAAGCCAGAAACCCAGAACTGGAACTGCTTTCCTTCTCAGTCTCTCCAGAGATAAAATGGATCCAGTAACCTGCGATCCCTCCTAACAGATATACTACAGGCATGGATGGAGCCTGACCTAGAACTTTGAGGATCTAGGGTGGAAATGCAGTGCTTGAAAAGTTTCAGCAGCCACCTGTGAGGTTATTGCTGTGACCAATTTGTTTGTTGGTTTTCTTTCCACCAGCAGGACTCTCTCCTCTTGCTGCAGCCCAGGGCAAAGGAGTGGTATGCTCCATAGGAACGCCTTCAGAAGGACACCCCCCTCACCCCGAAGTAGGTTGGGCGGAATCGTGGGACCAGCATATCAGCAACTCGAGGAATCAAGGGTCCCAGACCAGGATACGATACCTTGCCAAGGGTAGGTCTTAAAAGCAATGGAATTTAGGGAGGGTGTCATGGATGATATAGTTTTAAATTGAGTTATGATGTTCCTTGGGGTTTTATTCACTGGTTTCATCACCATTTGGCTATTTATGCTTGCTTCCACCTTTGTTCCACAAAAGAATAACTTTAAAAAACAGATACAATGGAAATAGATATTAGGGAAATGGTAGACAGAAAAGATATATAGCATTAAGTGTATAGACATCTAGACACTATGTTACTATTGCAGTTGCTAAAATAACTGGGAATGTGTCTTTGATTTTAAAACACAGAGATTTCTTAGGACGACTAAAGTGTTCCTTCATCCTTAGGATTGGAAAAAAACCAGTGCTTAATTCTCTAATCACTATTGTGGACAATACCGTAACAATAACCTGTAACATATATAAAGCATCCTTCGAGCATTCTTGAACAAGTCTCAGTCAGTGTTGACAGAGTATTGTCAAGGCACAGCTAGCTGGACTCAGATCTCTAGTTTCATTCACGGTGCAGGGATGGAAAAATTGGCTTTGGACTCCATGGCTGTTGCTCATCCTTGCAGTGTAAAAAGTGTCCCTTCCTCTCAGTGGACACAGACCCTCATAGGGCCCATAGCATGGTGAGTGGAGTGTAGAATGCATTTTAGCCACCACTCACCTAACCGCCATAAGCTGTTCAACCAAGTATGGCAGCCCTTATCGAAACTGACTGAATTTCAAATCTCATCTTTGCCCCTTACTACTTGTATGAATTTGAGAAAGTTTTATCATCTGAGCTTACGTTTTTCTCGTCTATAAATTGAACAAAATAATACCAGCTTTCCTGAGGGTTGTTGGGCAGATTAAAAAGAAATTACATGTGTCAAGAGCTTGTACCTGACACATGGTAAACAGAGAAGGGGTACTTGTAGCTATTGTCACAGGAACCATTATTCTTATTAATTTCAAGAGCAGTGCAATCAGGCTTTACTCCAGAAATGCCAAGAATCCATTTCCTCACTCAGGCTAGGTTCTTGTTGCATCTAGTTTTCCTCTCTCTGAATCAGCCAGACTAGGTTTCTTTGCTGCTTTGGTCTGGGTGATTTTTCCACCCTGTCTGCAGCAAGTTAAAAGCCAAAGCAGGTTTGAGGTCTGTCCCAGACTCTTACCTTTGTCTTTTCTTCTGGGTGATATGTATGCAACAATGCCATGTCTGACGAATCTCAGCAACAGATTTCTGTAGGAAGACTAGAAGATAGGAAATAAATAGCCTGTGTCCGGATTTTGTAATTTTGAAGCAATTCCAAATAGACTGTAAAATATATTTGGTAAGATCTAAGTTGTCCAAAATGTATAATGCAAGTCAAGAAGTAGTTTGCATTTCTCTTTGCCTTATATCTGGAAAAGGGGCTTGCATTTAGCCTATAATTAATCATGTTTCATAACTACTTTTCTTCTGAAATCACTAATAATGTCTGTTACTTAGATTTCTTTTTTTTCCCCCCTCCTGGGGTGAACGTTGGAGTGAGAATGAGTGAGGTGAAATCAAGTTAGAGATTTTGTGAGTGGAGAGAGACCCAGCCCGTGCTGTCTTTCTTCTGTTGGGCACTCTTAAGGCTATTGTTTTGTTTTGGATCAATCATCATTGGGTTTGGAATATTCTCTCCAATTGGCTAGCCACCTAGCCAATGTGCATGTGATATGCACCTGACGTTGATAAACGGTGACTCCAAGTCACTGTGTGCTCAGCGCAGTGAGTCTCAGGGAGCAATCTCATTCTTAATTCTTGACAACAGCTATTTCCCACTCCTGGGGGACTGACCGTCTCTCCGGACTGGAAATGGTAATAGAATTTCACAGCTAAAGGCCCTCTTCAAATCTGGCCCTAGCCTGGAGGGGGAGTGAATGAATTTATAACAGCCAACTGCTGCTTGTTTATCAAGCATGTGGGTGCTGTCTGCTACTTAGATTCCCGGTGTAGATGATGTCTCTCCTTGACACTAACTTCAACCCAGCTTGAACCCAGTGCCTGACTTAGTGAAGCCTGAGGAGGGAGCCAGGTGGACGGGAACTTCTTCAAGAGCCTTTCCCCTGATCAGTGGATCGACGACAGCCATGGCAGTGGCTCACAGAACTGTGAACTGGGTTATGTCAGGCAAATCAAACTAATGGAATCATGTACTAGACAGAAAGAGATGGAATCACAAAAGTTAGGTTGCTACCTTCGAAGTAGAAGGGATAGAAACATACTGATTATCCACCTCACTTAAATAGCAACTTTACAAACTTACATTCAGTTATTCTTCAGGAAGTGTACAGATGAACACACTAAAGACAGCAGAATTTAACCCAAGGTGGGATAGCCCACGTAAAAGAAATGGATTGAATACCGGCCTTTCTGACTAAATAAACCATTAAACCAGGAAAGGAATGTGAAGAAAAATCACAGTCATGGATGGTGATGTGTAAATGGAATCTCTAATTGTACGGCTCCAGAGGGAGAAGTAGATTCCTTCAATTTAGTCAGTTCATTCTAATTCCATGTGCACCAAGAACTGGGTCTTGGAGTCCTCTGGGGAAACGCTGATTTCTTGGCCTGACCGCTGAATTACTGGGAATCAAACCGAATGACTAACTGTTGAAATCTTCCCTCTTTAAAAGGATGCTTTGACTCACACAGTTACAGAGGAAATGTACTTGTGATTACTTTGTTGAGGGATTGGAGGAAAGGCAGTCCAACTGGTCCAAACTGGCATTTTACAGTCAATGAATGACAGGCTCATGGATCGAACGTGTGACAGAGTTGTTGACTCTGAAGGGATACAGAACTCTGAGTATCTTCTAATCAAGAATCATGCCTAGAAGTGTAACTCTCACTTAAACTTCTGGAGGGTAGTATCACCTCCTAATCAAAGACCAGTGCTAGGACACTCGGAGCAACTCTAGGAAGGAAGGGAATAGTGAAGAGGCATTACTTCAGTGAGTCCTCAGAGCAGTCCCTCTAGATCAGTATTGCTACCTGATGGTTTTAATTAATGAGAGAATTAAGGTAAGGCTGCTGGGTTTGCCTAAGATTCCAGAGCATGTAATGGTGGTGAGACTTGAAATCCTCTCTGATCCCAAACACGACTAATTGTTTAAAGTGCATCTTCATGTTAGGGCAGCCTTTCAGATGTCAGTTGTTGCCAACATGGGATCCATACCTGGCTTGTGAGATGATGTGTAAGTCAACTCCTTCAGTCAGCACGCAGGCATATGAGAAGACTGCTCCAAGTCTGGCTTGAATTGCCTTTGATTACTTCGTAGTCACGTGTTTTGCCGAAAGACTTACTTTCAGTTTCAAGTTCCGAGGGTTTGTTGGCAAAGTAACCCCTCAACACTTAAGTAAGAAAGAAGAAAGCTTGTTACGTTAGTTATAGCACAGAGATAAGCAAAATAGTAAGAAAGAAATGTATTTACCATCACCAAATTGGGGAAGCACCTCCATCCAGATGCGAGCAACGCTGTGACATCCCTTGAACAGCAATTTGGAGTCCCAGGTGGAAGGTCCCGGGCGTTGTGCCCGCTCCATGGATGAGAGTTCAGAGTGCAGCCCGAAGGAGTCCTGCTTTTAATGCCAAGCTGCACACTGATAATCATCAGCTTACGTGCAGATATGCCCCTCTGGCTATTATCATAAACGCTCTGATCTCTAGTCGTAAGTCTCAGGATGCTCACTGATCCCCGGGATTTGGCCAGATTCCCAAGGCCCAGGAAGCTTCGTGACTTACTCCCTTCCTTACCTGTTGGTTCCCAAGACTTGTTAGCACCGTTTCTGCTGACCTGCATGTAGTCCAGCAGTTCGGTATGTAGCTCCTTTCAGGGTCTTTGTTCAGTCAGAGGCCTATTGTTGCCTCTGAAGCCTGAACAAGACTATTAATTTTTCCAACATGGCGTCACATTGTGGACTTGCTGAAGCGTCAACAGTTGACTGAATCCTCTAAGATACTTACACCTTTATCCATCATTTTTACCAATAATGTTTAGATCCAGGTATTAAGAATTGGCACTATCACCATCACATTTCAACCTGGTAGATTCTACTCACTGATACACTCTGACGATCCATGTGAAAGACGATCTTATCCTCCTTAAATTTCGGTGCCATTGGTGAATCTGATAGCAGACATTCTGTATCTTCATACACGTTAATGGTGCTAAGGAAAGAACACAAAAGCCTGCAATTTGTCCCTTTTCTTCTTGTTGAAATTGATTCATTGATCAGAAACTTTAGGTTCAGATTTTCAGTCATAGAACACTAGGGAGAAAGTCATTGAGGTTCCCCAGGGAATTTCTTTGTATGTGGCTATATAATTGGCGCAGGTAGGTTTTACATCTCAAAAAAGGCTTGAGATGCCCACTCATTTCTGGCTTTGATAGTAACAATTAACATAAGACAACGTGGGTTTAACTTCTTCCTCTGCTGCTTACCAAGGGTGTGATTTGGGGCAAGCCCTTTGGGTATCCCTTAGTCCAGTTTATTTATCCATTATGTGGTAATAAATAAACCGCACAGTTTTGTTTTGTTTTTTTGATCAGTGGATGTAATTAGTGGTGAAAGTGCTTTTTGAAAGCTCTGTGTGAATGTTTGTTAGCTCTTGTTGACTGGGATATTAAGGGAGTGTTTACCTTGAAGATCTGTTCATGTATTCCTGAGTCCGTTCAATCAAACTTTATTGATTGCCAACTCCGTACTAGGCTCAGTAAGAGAGGGTAGGACACAATAACACCTAAATTTGTTCCCCATCTTTTCACACTGTCTGGCAGAAAGACAGATCTCTAAATTGCTCCCATCTTGTCTTTACAATAAAGGTTTCTAATGTTTAGTATGCGACACACTTCATTGCAATTATTCTTTCCATGTATAAACATGATTTTTGTTTACATTATAATGTAAGACAAGGGGAATGAGATTTATTATATTGAGGATGAACGTGTTTAGATTATGCTTCAATTTTAATGTTTAAGGTTAAAATTGAGGAAAACGAATTGAGAAATAGAATAAATACTACTGTTCAAGTCCCCAAACTACATTTCCGTGAACCTACGATATCCCTGCCTCACTTTTTGGCACTGGAAAGTTCAGAGGCAATGGAAAATTCACTAGCTCTGAACAAGCAAGAGGGGGGCCAGCCAGATTCTGGCATATTTAAACCACTTGGAACGGCACGAGGGCGTTCTCAACAAGCCATTTTACCATGCACCCATGAACTACCTTACTTGGCTCCAGAAACCACGTGAGGAACGTTACTAGCTTGGTCGAGGCCCTGTGGAACTCACTTCATGTTCATCTTGGGCAGACAGAGGAACTGTGTGCCTCTCGTCCCATCTTTTAGGCTCAGCAAACTGGCAGGGAGGCAGTTCCTAAGAGCAGAGTGCCAGTGGAAATTGGATTTGGTCCCCCTAAAGTCAATGTGAAGCAGAGAAACTCAGGACTTTAGTACCTTGAGGCTTAATATTGGGCTTCCTGATTGCCTCCACCTAGGGTGGCCACAAGGAGTCTACACTGGACTAAACCAGGGCTGAGAGGGTGGTCAGGTTGATGGAGTGGAGTAATGCCGTTATGGGTTTCCTGTTTGTCACTACGGAAGGGCCACACACACTTACCTGCTCAATCCCCATTTACTTTGTATTCTAGGATAGAGGTCAGGAAGACTATATCCCACCTGCCTATACAGCTGTGGTGTGTTGAAAGATCCCTGGACTTAAAGTAAGAAGATCTGGGTTTGAGTCTCAGTCTGTCACTTATTTTCTGTGTGACCTTGGGCAAGTCACTTCACCTATCTGAGCTTCAGTTAACTTCTCTGTTTAACTGGGAACATAGTATCCGTCTCATGGGGTTGCTGTGAGAATTCAGTGAGATGGTGCATGTGGAAAGTGCTTTGTTGACTGAATAGTGCTCTCAAGAAGATGGGAAGAGCACAGAATATGTAACACTTTGTTTCTTCTTCAGGTATTCATCCAGTGGTTTAACAACCCAACAAAATGCATCAATAAATATGCAACTGCCTTCGAGAGAGACAAACTCCTATTTTAATAGCTTGGATCAAACGGACCTGATGGGATATTCATCCCCAAGGGCCAGTTCCGTGCCCATCATCCCCTCAGTGGGTCTAGAGGAAACCTGCATGCAAATGCCAGGGATTTCTGAAGTCAAAAGCATCAAATGGTGCAAAAACTCCTACTCTGCTGATATTGTCAATGTGAGTATTCCAGTCAGCGATTGTCTTATAGCAGAACAGCAAGAAGTGAAAATATTGCTAGAAACTGTCCAGGAGCAGATCCGAATTCTGACTGGTGCCAGGCGGTCAGAAGACTACGAACTGGCCAGCGTGGAAACCGAGGACAGTGCGAGTGAAAACACAGCCTTTCTCCCCCTGAGTTCCACAGCCAAATCAGAACGAGAGGCCCAATTTGTCTTAAAAAATGAAATACAAAGAGACCCTGCGTTGACCAAGTGACCTGAGATGTAAGAATCTGTGCGTTCTATGCTTTGCTCAACAGGAAAGAGAGGAGATTAAATACAAATTATTTATATGCATTAATTTAAGAGCATCTACTTAGAAGAAACCAAATAGTCTATCACCCTCATAGTGTTTTTTAACAAAATATTTTTTTAAAGGGAAAGAAACGTTTCAGGAGGGATAAAGCTTACCACTAAAGCTTTTGGGTAGAATTTTGAATACAATTTCATTTAGTCCCAACACTGTCCTCTTTGGCTCTTAGTAGATGTGGGCAATTCAGACTCTCCGCCCCACAGTGCCAGTGACCTCATAAAAAAGTGCTGGCAGTTACCCGGTTTCAAAGAGAAGAGACGCATCCCAAGGGTGGGCGTGCCAGTGAGCAGGTGGTCCTTGCCATTTGGCTTGCCAATCCCTAAATTTCTATTCACTCGACAGCCTCATCACAGGTTATGTCATGTCAACAAATGTAGTGTTTTCTATTTACTTTTTGAAGAATGGCACAAAGACTCTGGAAGGAGAGGGACAGGAGACAGAGGGAGTCATGGGGCAATCTTAGCCACTCTCACGTGCCAGCTTCCTCTGAAATTTGAAGGCACAGCATCTCAGAGGGAGGTAAGAAATTATTACAGAAAAAGAGACAAAAACATCACACTGTCGTGTCACTAAAATCATGCTAATAGCTAATAGAAATGTTTTCGTTTGAGATCGTTTAGGGGCTCCAAAGGAGCACTTCTCAGTGTGTGTGCCTGTGTGTCTGGGCTTGCTCACTCGAGCACCGGTATGCCGTATGCACATATGTTCATCGTGCGTATGTGTGTGCATGTGTGTGCGTTAAGCTTGCTAAAATTTGTTCTGAAACATCAGGGAATCTAATATTCAGAAAAAATTTCCCTCTTAGATCTGTTCGCTTTAAACTTTTCCATTAAGTATAACGTTCAGTTAGTAAATCAAGGTCACGTGCATGGTGGGGTCCTATAAAACTCTTGACAATGTCTAGACTATATTCTGATGTGAATCTTTTTGAGAGGAACAGCTATTGGCTCATTAATGATATCAGTATCACAAGGCGAGTTGGGGATGTGTATTTTGAATCATGCGTACTTAAATTATTTATACAAGCCAATGATCAAATTGATAGTTAGTTACCCTTTGTTTTCTCATTTTCCTCATTACTTTTTGTAGCAAGTCTACTACGCGTGGACCAAGACATTGGCTTCTGTGGTTAATATGGAAAGAATAAATTGTTGAAATTACAAAGCCCAGCCTATTCAGTTCACAGGAAGCCCCCCAAAGAACAGTAAATTGTGTTGTATGTTCCTTTGGAATAAAGCAATATTTTTACCACTGCTAAGGTGAACTGAAACTTCTGAAGATTTGTCTGTCTTATTTAGCCTAATTTTCACGGGGCATTCAAGGACATTAGCGTTCACATAACCAGTCTTTTTCCAGTTATTGGTGGTGTTGAGTTGTTATGTTTACACTGTTTTAAATAAAAAGGCATAGTATTTGAAAGTATATAAAAGATTTCTTTTACTGAAGTTTGGGAAAACCTTGATTAAAACTTCCTGTGGAAGACTCACATTCCACTGAAAAGGAATGTAACTAACTATTTCTGAATCAAATATTGAATATACACAATTCTTAATGAAGGTTAAGCTGTTTCTGTTTAAAATACATTGCAAATTGCTCTCTGAGAACATTCTTTCTTGGATAATAGACGTAAGTAGACATAATGCCATACAGGGAAAATAAAGAACATTGTGTTCTTCTCAACACTGTTTAGTGGAAATTCAAAAGTCTCAAATGTTGAAAACATTTTGGTAGAAATGCATTTTATATTTAACAACTTCATGCTGTTCCTTAGTTGTCCCACTATTGTTCCTTTGTTTTGAATATAGAGGTAATACTAGACTCTTAAAAAGGATTATTACAACTTTTTAATGTCTCAATTATCTAAATTCTCATTTAGAAATAGTATATCTTTGGGAAAATTTTAGAAAAACGGTTTTAACTAACTGGTGTATAAAACCCCCATAACTTGCATATTCGATATGCTACTGAGTTGAAATTTATCACAATTATCAAACATTCACTGGAAGTCCTCCCAAGTCAACCTTGTCTTGGGTTTTTCATTAAAATGCTACCTGTTGCAGATCTAAACGGATTCATACAGGATCCACCTAATTAGGAGTTTGTGTATTTTGTGACTCACTGCAGTTATTTCTTTTTTAACACCTTTCACTGCAGTTATATTAATATATCTTTTGCTCTAAGGAGATCGAAGGTTGTCAATCAAACTTAAGTCCTGCTCTGACCCCTTATTTTTTTTTTTAAAGTTGAACTATATATTATGTGATTATAAACAGCCTCGTGCGTTCTAAAATGTATGAAAGTTACACACATCCACTGGCGGCCCGATGTAAAGTTTAGAGATAAAGTTATGTCCAAATTGATAGTAGAGACAAAAATCCTCCGTAAAGAACAATTATTAATGGTCACTTTCAGTGGCCATTTGTCTCCTTTTGGAATATGAAGCTCTCCTGTGAAAAGGGTCCACACTCAAAAAGCACCTCTTTGGGCACCAGCAGACAAGTGCTGATAGCATCAAGACGTTCAAAGTTGATCTAACGTGGCCAACACCTGGAGACATCGATACCTTGTCCTTCAAGCTCACGTGCCTACAGAGAAGTATTTATTTCTACAAGCCACTTTTGATTTTGCTTCATTTTCCCTGTATTTCTTAAGTGAATAGGTATTTGGAGACTTGGTAATTAAGTTAGTTGCATATTCATTATTTACTGGAGAATGAATGTCACTCATTATTTTTCACTCTGCATCATCTTCTGATGTCTTTTTTTATAAAGTGTGTGTTATTCTGATTTGCCAGTGACTTCTATAGAATGCTGCTGTTCAAACTACATGAGCAATTTTATGCTAATGAGAAAGAGTGGAAATTATGTTGGAGAATTGGCATCCAAATTCTCTGATTTTTGTATGCACATTTAGTGCTCTATGTTTTACACTGTTGTCCAACATCTACCTTGCTATGGGTGAAGGACTAAATATTTGTAGATAGATCAAATCTCCAATGATTTACATTATTTCCAAGCATCAATAATAGCAAGGTCCTCTGGAGGAGAAACAGTGCTATTTTCAGGACTCCACAACTACCCTGTTTTGATCATAACATATCAGGCCTACCAAAAAGAGAACAGAAGGGCCAAGCAGATTTCCAGAGAATGATCACTGGCTTCTGAATTGACTGACAGCTACAATTTGAGTGGGGCTTTTGGCGACTACAGCTAAAGCTCTCAATAACCGGGTCTCCACCAGAATATGCTTGACGTATGCAGCAGTCACTCACACTTACCTTGAAGTATGGTGCTACAGGAAACCCTGACTCCCTAAGTGCGGGGGGATGGTGACTCCTTTGACTCCAGCCCTGTAAACCAGAAAATATTGCCCTTAGACAAGTGCTATGAAACATTTCCCAAATGAGTATATAGTATACCTAGGAACACAGCAGGAGGGGTGGGGTTTTTATTTGAGCTTTTGGTATCCAGGAAACATTTTATATATAAAGAATACTTTTTAAATTATTATTCAATTGTATAGATTCAGTACAGTGTATTCAATGATAGCATGTCTGTACTCTGTTTGTACTTTAGTCTACAGAAATTCAGTCTTCATCCAAGAAAGACCAGCACAATGCTTCTGGGCTGTTCTCGATTTTAAATGCATCCCAATGTGTCATGGGAAATGAGGCCTTTAAATAAGCTTTATCTCTTCCTCTTTTATTCTTTCTTTCCCTTTTAAAGAAATAGTGAGGGTAAAGGAAGACATTCATTCCTTAAGGTCAACATCGTTCTCTCATAATAATCTGTTTCCTACTGTGACTACACACACACACATACATACATATATAAGTATATATGTATGTGTAAAATATATATGTATATTACATTTAGTTTGATTATTTTGGTGGCTTTATTTTTGCTTCATTTGACAAATATTAAAGTGATTGCCTCATGGAATGCCAACGAAATAATATCATTTAGAAATCAGCCAACTTGGCAATGTTTAGGTAATACAGGCATTTTCTAGGTTTTTCTCTTTCTAAGGTAAGCAGAAATATCCTTGGGTTGGAAAATTCAAAAGACCCTGGAGCAGAACGTCTGCTAGATTCTCTCTTAGAAATGAAGATTAAACTATGGGTATATATGATTACTGTCCCTATAGTGTATAATTTCAAATATATTTTTTTACAAATTTAACCATTAGATCTCTCAAAGGGGCCTAAACAGGTGTCTTTGACTTCTAGTGCCCACTGAACTCTAGTAAGGAGTTGTGGTAAGGGCAGAATGGTGGTGGGGAAACCACATGTTAATGTTGGATACCCAGTGAAGATGTGAAGATACTAGCAGAGATGATCAGACTTAAAAGTACTAGGCCTCTAGTACTTTGATAACTTTTTGTCATAAAAACCTGTATTGATTGCATGTGTATTGTTGCCTATGAAAGCATTAATGATGCGACAGCAAATAATTCTTATTGTTGGAAATGAATTAGAAAATCTTTATATTGGAAGTTGTCTTTGTGAAAGCTTCTGATTTATGTATGCATAATAGTAGCTCCATGACCCCATCTGTCAAATAAGGAGGATGATCTAGTTCATCTATGATTTCCCTTTCAAATTGGATGGAATGTTATCCAATCATTCCAACTCAGACTTTACCTCATTATTTGTCCTCCAGTGACATAACCCTTTGGAAAGAAAATGGCTGTAAGACTTCAAAATTATCGGAATCTGTATATCAACCTGTGAATGACTTACATTTATAATATTCCATTTAATTTCCATGGAGAAATAGACAGGATCCCTTTTGTGATCGTTGTTAAAGTAAATTTACCTAGGCCAGGTAATAAAGAAGAAGGGATGGCCAAGAAAATATCTAATTTCAAAGCTTGAGCATCAAAATTTGCCCCAGATTTTTGAGTATTTGCCACAGATTTTTAAACTGTGAACTTTTATTGAAGCCAGAGCAAAGGGTTCTGCAGAGAAGGCATGAGACCTTGAAGCTGTTCTCCTCTCACAGAAGCTGTGACACACTCTCATTGGATACACAGGATATTTACTGATATTTTCAATTATTTGCATCTCAAACTTCTTAACATGACCTCTCCAATTAATAGTGAATAAATTCTCTGGAGACACTATTCACATTATAGTTGGAAATAATCCTGTCTTTGGCGGACACAATAGACCAAAAAAATGCAGAGGTTACTTACTTAATTTTGGTTGTAATTGCTGTTTTTAACAAATTAGTATCTGTTGGCTCGTCCAGCAGCATCCTGAGTAGCGTTAATTCTCCCATCTATAATTTATCTTCATTGAGGGCAACATCTGAATTCCTAAGTATTTAATAAAACAAACACAGAATGTTGAAAAACCTCAATCAAAAACAGTACAGCTCTTCAAATTGTGTTGGTTTTTAAAGTTATACGGATTCCATATAGTTGTTTACAAAATTGAAATAGAAGGGAAAAAATTCACATTTTCTTAACTTGTTTTTAATATATTTAGATGTCTGATAAACCACTCATACAGCCTTGTTACACTTTACATTGATCTTTCTGAAATAAATTTAAATGTAAGGGCTTAAACAATCACACACACACACGCACAGCACAGTACACATGGTGTGTTAAAACTCAATGTTGTACTCCTTTTCCTTAGATTTTTTCCTTTACAGGTCACCCAAGTATGTAACACTCCAAACTCTTATGACATGGAAGACCTTGATTTTAGATATGTTTCTTAGGAAATGCCTACAGCAAAAAAAATATAGTGATTATCTTTTAAGGTTTGTTCTATATAGCCTGCTTTTGAATTTTATCTTTACCAATGAAAGTCTGGAGAATAGATACATTTGTTCAAACTGAAACAAATGGAAGAATGGAAAACTTACCTTAAAATCACTACACATTTTCCAGTAGCCAATGTATATATTTTAAAGATAATTAGTGGGAAATTGGCTCTTACTTTTTCAAGGATGCAACTGTACACATTAAATCTAAATAAACAAATTCACTTCTTCTTAATATATTTGACCAATCATATTTTAAACAAAGAATGTAAATCACACAGAGGAGAATACATGCAAAATGGTCAGAATATTTTTAGTTGTCATTTAAAATAAATTTACCAAAACTGATCTTTTGTGCCTGTGATAATAATTTTGTTTCAAGGAGTGTATATGTATCTCCTTTACCTTCTTCCAAGAAAACATTTCAGAATGATGTCCACCGATGTGTGGGATATGAAGGCTATGGGAAATAATACGAGCTGTATGTCCCTTGACATCCTAGCAAAGTTCCATTACGTCTGCACTTTGTTTCCAGGAAGAGAGATCATATTGCTTATTAAAAATTAAGAAGTGAATTTAATAGTCTATCTAATAATAATCTTGACTTCACTTAAGTTTACATAGGTGGAGGAAATCCTTGACTATCATTTCCCTGTCATCCCTTTTCAGAAGCCTTTGATGAAGCTGGACACTCAGATTCCCTTAGGTTAGATTCTTACTGTATGTTCCTCTTATCTCACTTCTCTTTTATTAAACAGGGAATTTTCAGCTAAAATGAGACATTGATGTGACTTGGTAGGAAAAAATAGCTTTGTTCTTTGAGTTGTATCACTGGGGGAATAAACTGGGAACATTTCAAATGTGATTATAAGGTTCATGACTTTAACCAGTATCTTCTCATATACAGACATACCCCAGGGACCTTTAATTTTCCTAATATTGTTAACAAACTTTTCAACCTTATTATTGTTTTTTACAACAGCATTTTCCATTTTTTAAGAGACAAAGACAAAATCATCCATTCACATAAAAGAACAAAACAATAAGTAAAACAAAGCAATCATCCTTTAAACAATGACCAAAATACAAACCAATAACAATATTTGTAAAGGCTTCAAGTAAAATACTGAGTAAAAATCAAATCAAATCTAAGGTTAAAATAATGTAGGAAATACTGGCAAATAGTTTGCATAATACGTTTTTTTCATAATTCTTCTGCATAAGTGGACTCTTCTTTCCATAATAATATTTAATGTTTTAGAACTTCTACTGGGCATTAATTATACCTATTTAGTATATTTAAATGTGCAAACATTTAAATATACTAAAATGTCCACTTTGCCATTTCTTCTAACGTGACACAAAGTTTATGAAAATTTGTGTAGATAAAAAGATAGAAAAAAATAGGGAGAATTATAAAAAGAAATTATTATCTATTAACCTCTCCTTATTTTCTCATTGACACCTTTCACTGAATGCTCCCATATTTTAAGCTAAACACAGAGGAAGCTACTGAATCAATTACGGAGGCAGATGCAAACATATTTTGAGAATTAAAATGTCTGATACACAGATACAAGGAGTTGCAGTCTTCCTTGGATCCAAATAAAGCTGAAAAGTACCGTATAGCACAGAGTTTGAGAAATGGGGAATTATTTTGATTTAAAAAAAAGTTGTTCTGCTGAGTCCATTCATTACGGCTAAAAAAATGAATAAGCATCACTGTGAGTCTTTTCTCCATTGAAAAAGAAGAGTTAGGCATGTGATACCATGAATAGTTAGACAACAGAAAGATCTAACTAATAAATTTCTTTTTGCTTTGCTTTCTTATCTTACTTTAAAAATAATGTTACTGAAAGTGTGAAAAATAAGAAAATAATCGGCATGGATTCAACTATGCTAAGACCATAGTAAGTAGTGTCTTTAATATACTTTCTTCTCATTTTTCAATATATATGTATATATCATATATACATATGTATATATATGTAATATATATGTATATATCACCATTATTTTCCTACCGTGGTTTATTATAACTTAAAAAATAGTATATCATACTATACCATGGTAAACATTTAATTTAAAGGCTAAATTCCAATTTGTTCTATTATGACTTATTTAGACATTCTATTATTTGAATTATTCAAATATAATTATATATAAGAAATATAATTATTATTTAAAATTGCTTCCATTCATTCACTACCCTAAGTAATTCCACAATTAATATTAAAATACACATTATTTACTCTTCCTTTCTTTTGAAAGGAAACTGTGGGTCCATGCACAAGTGTCTTAGGGTCTGTATACCTTCAAAATTGTAAGTAATGCTTGTGTATAGGTTAGTATGTACATTCTTTGGTAGGGGAGGAGGTCTATCAGTAAAAATTTTATAAGGTTAATGAGATCTGTGAACTTCACTGGTTAAGAATAATTTTTTGAAATAATGTCTTGGTTACACATTATAAGAAATTGTATGTCTGGGTTAATGAATATGGAGTTTTTTGCTTTCTTTTTTTTTACTTTGTTTTTTTTTAGAGCAGTTTTAGGTTCACAGCAAAACTGAGAAGAAGGTACAGAGAGTTCCCATATACTTCCTGCCCCCCACATGCATAGCCTTTCCTATTATCAACACCCCCACCAGAGCAGTACATTTGTTACAACTGAAGACCCTACATGGGCGCGTTATAGTCACCCAATATTCATAGTTTACCTTATGGTGCACTCTTGTTATTGTACCTTCTATGGGTTTTAACAAATACATAATGACATGAATTCACTGTCATGGTATTATACAGGGATTTTCACTGCCCTAAAAATCCTCTGTTCTCTACCTATTCATTCCTCTCTCCTCTGCCACTCTGCAGCAACCACTGATCTTTTTTACTGTCGCCATAGTTCTACCTTTTAGTATGGCCACTTTGAAAATTTATTTTAGACGTTGCTCAATTGATTTCTGGAAGTGGTAATATATGCAGTTTTAACATCACCTGAATTTTTTATTTTGCTTATCAGTATAACTGTAATTGGTTTAGATCTAATCAGAAATGCATCATTTTAATGAAGCTTAATTTTAACTTCTAATTAGAAAAAGTGTTACAAGTTTACACAAAAAATATATAAGAAGAAAAATTAAAAATCACCACAGGAGATAACCACTATTAACATTTGAGTATATTCCCTTCCAATATTTTTAGTTGAATAAATATATACATTCCATATTTGAAAAACTGGAGTCATCTAATATTTAAAACATTTTGTCCTGCTTTATTAACTTTACATATGGTCTCTAATAATTTCCTCAGTTTATAAAGTATCTTCACACATAACATTTCTAATGGTTACACAAGCCACTATATGGATGAAACACATTCATATTTTCAAAGGGTCCTTTAAATATTTATCATATATACTATTTGAGTTTTAAATGTTTACCTACCTTTGACTTGTGTGTTTCAACACTGTATATACACATATATGCATTAATGGCTTTTTGGCGTTAGCATATTTCTATGTAGAGATAGAAACAGATATTGTGTTCTCTCACGGTATTAATTTTGGTTTTTTGTAGCAGCCTGCTTGATGGATTTTCATCATGAAAATCATAATATTTTGCTAATGTAGACAGCTGGATTAAAAGACATAAGCCCTAGAGAAACCTCTGTACAGCTGACTATATTCACATCTCCCAATCCATACTCAAAAAACTGAGCATTAAAGGAGACAATGATTTAAAAACTGCCATCAGCTTTGGAACCTGGAAGGAGTGACATAAAAGCAAACCATTATAAAGGATTGAGAATATATGTCCGGCACTAGATGTTTTACATATATTAACTTATTTAGTCTTCATAATAACCCTATGAGGTAGATATAAATATGATCCCCATTTTAAAGATAAGGAAACCGAAGCATAGAGAAGTTAAGAGACTTGCCCAAAGTTTCCCAGATAACAAATTGTAAGGGGCTGGACTTCAAACCAGAGTCCTTGAAGAGTTACCCTTTATTTTCTAACCTCTATTATTATCTTCCTTGAGGAATTTCTGATAATCATAGTTCAAATGTTCAAGACAAGCCTCTCCAAGGCTAAGTGAGGATGATCCTGACCCTAGTTCACCAAACTCAGATAGGCTATAACCAGTGCTAGAAATGAGGGCAGAGCATAGCACTAATGAATGGGAACTGCACCCAATTTTACGGGTTATTTGAAATTCTCACATACAAAGTGCAGTGATTAGATATTTAGCAAAATCGCTATTTCTTATCCCAAATATGACAGACAGTAGTGCTAGGAAGGAGGCCAGAAGGATCATATGCATGGCCATGGCTACACCCACTCTTTTCAAAGTGAAGACTGTGTACAAAATGGTGATCCTCAGGTCATCTGCTTCAACAAAGCAAGAGTTAGTGTGTGGTTGAACGTTCGTGTCCATTCACTTTAAGGCACCACACCATGGAAATATCATTATAAATGTGTGTGTGTGTATTTTTTTTTCTTTTGCCTACCCGATCGTTTATGCAATTCAACATACAAGGTGACAC